TTACATGCTTGTTGGGAAATTCAATTACTTTCCATTCGAAATGGAGAGTCATTCCAGTTTATTTTGGTTTCGGAAAAGCTTGACTGAATCCACTCACGATAATGTAAGAGGGAACCTTGTGTTCTGAACCACTTTCTCAGGACAGATTTTCGCCTCCAGTTCTTTACTCAACACTGGCGGAGACTCGAACTTCTTTCATGTATTAGGCGCGCCGTTTAAGTTACCAGGTCGGCCACAAGGTAGCCAGACTGATCTGATGGCAGATAGCACTTCACTGTGAGAAGTGTGTATGTATTCAATTACCATTTCACGATAGACACACTTAGTAATTTGTGAAGCCTTCTCTTCAAGAATTGTACTGACTCTCCACAACGCTTCATGTAAAATATTCTAAGTTTTGGTTGGTGTTGATCTTACGGCTTCGGTATGAAGCACAGAAATGCCTTCGTACATAGTACAGCATATGTGATCTTCGTCTTGTCCCTCTTGCAGCTTAGACGTCTTTCTTGGCGGTCCGCCTCTGACCTTGTGCAGTGGTACCCTTGCAATTGTAAATGGTAGTTCGTCAATGAATGACGCATTCAAATAAGGGCTTATTGAGCAAGGTTCCAGACGAGATGACTGATAATCCTGTCTGGACGTATCTGCACATAAACGTCTATCTGCTACAGCGGCGAATGCTTGAGTCATGGCAACAAGATTGCGCAGACCTCTGCCCGCCACGGAGAGGCCTAAATGGCTTTTTGAGGTGAATAAGACGGCGAAGGGGCGTAGTCTACCCCAGGACCTTTGTCGGTCCATATGGCCCTTCGGTGGACTTTTGATGCCTGGCCTGTTGCCCACGCAACAACGTGGTAGTGTTTGAGAGGCTCGCTTTTCAGAGCAGATCCCTTTTAAGAACAAGCCTAGAGATGGCAAAATTTGTTTATTGTCCTGACGACTTTCAAAAGGTGGTCGTGTTCGAGCCTACGCTTAAAAACTGGGCATGTATTGTTTCCGTCCCAGAGTATGTTCGGTCCAATTATTGTGTGATTACCTTAGGCGCCGGATCTACCGGAAATCCGCACGAAATTATTGAATTTGACATCCTTTTGCTTAGTAGTTGATTTCTTCACAATCATATCTATCTCTGCCCTTACCACTCTTTCTTCGGGTCTCTGGCCAGTCTTTTTGTGACACTTCATCTCTCTGGCGTGTTAGGTAATCATTTTTGTCTGGATTCACTTCCACGTGGAGATGTGTTCTGAAGGGATTCGTATGTTGATCCCATCGGAAGGCGACGCCCGGATTATTCTAGTCTGCTATTTGCTTGTCCTGTGACATTTTTGCTGAAGCAGTTCCCCAAGACATCCTTCTTTCACTTGTGAAATTTAGTCACACAACATTTAACTAAG